GAGTCTCTGAGATGATGGTGAGCCTGGCTGGAACAGGGAGCTCAGCACCTAAGACTGGGAACAGGGAGGGGCAAGGAGGGAGCTGAGCTGCTTCATGCAGGAAGTGGAACTGACACAACAGGCTGAGATTGGCATGCATGACTGTGACTGATGGAGGCCATCTCTGGTTAATCCTGCAGCAGCTCATTGTGATGAACCATGACTGCAGGGCCCCGTTTAGACAATAACCACTAAGAGATGAATTTTGACTGAGACAGATTGGCGTGTCACTGAGGAAGTATGACAGACAAGCTAAGGAGCAGCAGCACAAGGACGAGAACAGCCAGCCTGTCAGACCTTGGTTTGCATCCTAGCTCCACGACTCTCTGACTATGTAACCTCTCTGAGCCTCAGTTTTCTCTTCTGTAAGTTGGGAATGCTAATACCTGCTTAGTAGGGTAGTGTAAGGTTTAGAAATCATATACGAATGGCCTGCCCTATGGATTTTGGACTTACGTAGCCAGCCCTCACAATCATATAAGCCAATTCCTTGCAATAAGCCTCTTAATATGTATCTCCTATTGGCTCTGCTTCTTTGGTTGGACCCTGAGTGGTACAACCACACAGCACAGAGCTAAGCCCCAAAACAGAAGCCATTAATACCAAATTACTGGCATTAATTAAATGCATAATGTATATACTGAGCTGAGCCTTTGTGCTTGGTTCTGGGCTAGATTCCAGGGAAACAGTAGAGAACAAGACAGGCAAGTTCCCACCTTCAGGGCACCATTACAGCCTGACTGATTATGAAGAGACTGATATGGTGATTACTACTGCTGAGACTGGTTCTCTCTAGTTTGGGAGCTGGGTTTCTAAGGCTCTATCTTAGGCCTGAATGTGGTTGGAAGCCGAGACCGGGTGATAATGGGCCAGCTGTGACACTCACTCAGAGATTGGCTGACTAGGACCATGACAGACCATCTGACTGTGGCTACTGAGCAACCATGACCTTGACCGCAGCTTCCGTGACCATGACTGAGACTAAAGGACAATGTCTGGTGGATGTGTTTCTGGAGCGGGATATAAAAATGCACAGTTTGACGAAAGTTGTTATCCACGGTTCGTTTGCTAAAACGAGTTAACGAGAAAAAAAAGGTTTTATGGGGCGGAACCTGCAGGCGCGGACCGATCCTTTCTGTGGCCGAGAGCTCTGCCGGGCCGCTTTTCCTGTAGCTCTCGTCCGACGCCTAAGCGGTAAAACTTCCGGGGCGTTTCCGCGGTCCCTGAGCCTGGAGTGAGACCGAGGCTGGTGAGTGCGGACTCCTGGTCTGTTTTAATTCCTCTGCTTTCGTTGTCTGTTTGGCTGGGTCACCCCTCTTCCCGGCTCCGGATCGCGGAGTGCCCTGAACTAGGGCGCCTCGCTGGGACAGCCGCGTCCTGACCTGTGGGCCGGTGGTGGGACCCTGATGTCTCTGCAGGCCTCTCCCTCAGGAACCGTCACCAGAGACACCGTCGCCAGTACTTCCTAGGGCACCCGGGGTAACTTCGCTTTTTCCCCTAACTTTAAAACTTGGGGGCCCGAGACATTGGCTGCGTTCGACCTGATTCTGTCCGACTCTCTGTAGCTTCAGGTAAGGTCTTTCCTCCGAACTGAGCCTTCGTTTCTCAACTACAAAACAGATATCATGCTTTTGTTTAATAAATATGTATCAAGCGTCTAATATGTGCTAGAGGTACAGAAAGACTCAAGTCTCGTGGAGGTGACAGCCCTCTTAAAAATAGGCAAAATTTCAGTCTTGATAAGTGAAATGAAAAGATACACGACGCCTTGAGAGTATATCACACAGGAGACCTGATCTAGCCCAGGGTCAAGGAAGCTTTCCCGAGGAGGGAATATTGAGCTGAGATCAGAAAAATGATTGGACAAAGACGGGAGGGAAGGGTTATCTATCCAGAAGATCCTCCTGTTTGAGTGTCTGAAAAGAGACTGGGACAGAGAGCTTGTAGGGGGAGCATGGTCTGAAACAACCTGGAGGAGTTGCCAGGGACCAGAACATGCAGGCCTTGGAGGTCGTGGTAAGAATTTTGGTTTTCCAAGAGCCACGTGGGAAGCGGCTCAGAGGGCATTACGTGTTGGGTGGTGACATGCTTAGATTGGCCTTTTGTAAAGGTCACTCGGGCTGCTGGATGGAGAATGGATTGGAGGGGCAAGCACCCTGGGTGACGGATGTGGTAGGTTGGATTAAGGAGGTGGTGGAGAGAAGTGGATGGATGTGACTTTCTGCATTCCAGGGCATCTTCTCTGTGCCAGGCCGCGTGCCAGCTGCTGAAGACATAATGAATAGTACGGGCTGGTGGAATTAGAATGAAAGGAATGTCATTATCAAGGAGGAGCACACAGATGCCACAAGGGAAAGTAGCTAATCGATGAGCAATTATTCTAAAAGCAGTAGCTGTTCGTTGAGCAAATATTTATTTAAGTACCTTCTGAAATCGGGTTTGGGAATAGGAAGATGACGATATAAATTATTTAGAGCAGTGACTTTCAGACTCTTTTGACTGTGACCTACAGTAACAAGTCCGTTTTACGTTGCAACCAAAAGGACGTACAAACACACAAAGCTTCAGAAAACTGATTTATACCACACCTGATATATTCTGATTTTTTCAAATTCTGCTCTTTTTGTTTAAAAATATTAATGCTGGTTGAGACTCTCTAAATTGATTTCTTAACCCATTAATGAATTGGGACATGATGTCTGAAAATAAAATGCTGATTTAGAGTGAGAGTCATTTGTAGTGTTTTTTAGGTTAAGACAGTAAAATAGGCCCTTAACATTTTTGGAAAAGGGTTAGTCTTCTGTTCCTCACTTTTTTGTTTATTTAAAAGAAAAAGTAAAAAGAATTAAACAGGCAGCTGGTTCTTCTGTTTATGAAATGTTGGGCTCTTGTTCATATGTCTGGCTAGATTGGAAGTACCTGGAGGACAATAAAAGTCTTCCTCTGGATGTTTTATTTAGTGACTGGTAAAATCCTGGCACAGTGCAGGCATTCAGTGATTACTTGTTGAACTGAATAGGTAGGTGCCTTGGGACTAGAAGGTTAGATACTTGTTTGGTTTAAGTTAGTTCATGTTGGAACCATCCTTATAAATAAATACCATACAGGCAGTGTTTGTCTGCCTACAGAATCTTTATAGTATGTCCTCGTGGGTTGTCCAGAGGTAGGTTTAAAATAAGTGTTCTGAGTTCTTTTTCTTCTAAATACTGGTCCTAGGCCAGCCATGCCACCGGAATCCATTCTGGGCTAGTGATCCAGAGCTGCCACTGACTGGGCCCTTTGGGAAGTTGTTTCACCCCTTGAACTGGAGGTTTTTGTGCATAAAAGGAGAAGTGGAGATTTGTGGTTAACAAGCTCTTCACGTCCCAAATCTATTGTGAATTTGAGATGCTGAGCATCCACTTTCCACCTCTGCCCATTTCTGGGCCTTCCCTGAGGCTTATGGGATACCGGGTGTATGCTTGATTTAATCATCCTTCTCAACTCCTGGGACTCTAGCAATAGATTAGGCAGAGTTATAGTTTAGAATGGACCATCCAGGCTTTCTCTACCTTCATCCTCTGTTATGAGAGAGGGATCTGAGAGCAGGTCCTAAGTGGATGGTGGAAAAGAACACTGGCCTGGAGGGCAGGGTACACAGGTTCTAATTTGTGTGACCTTGTGTGACCTTGGACGTGTCACTTCTCTGCTGTCTTTCCAGTTGTGAAGTGAGTGTTCTTGCTCATTAAACCAAAACACAAAAATCCTCTTCTCTCTGTCTCATTTATAAAACTGATGTAGGGTTGTGGTGAGGAGATAATTATGGGAGATAATTATGTCAGGAGTCTGATTCAATATCTGACACATAGAGAATGCTCAGCAAATGAAGCATTTTTCCCCAAGTTCTGATGAACTCTCGATTTCTTTCTTTTTTCAGCTATTCTGAAAGACAAGAAGGGTTCTCCTTTTGGTCACCCACGACTGGTCCATGGCTGCTATGCAGATGGATCCTGAGCTTGCCAAACACCTCTTCTTTGAAGGGGCCACTGTGGTCATCCTGAATATGCCCAAGGGGACAGAGTTTGGCATTGACTACAACTCGTGGGAGGTAGGGCCCAAGTTCCGGGGTGTGAAGATGATCCCACCAGGCATCCACTTCCTCCACTACAGCTCTGTGGACAAGGCCAATCCCAGAGAGGTGGGCCCTCGTATGGGCTTCTTCCTTAGCCTCCAGCAGCGGGAGCTGATGGTGCTGCGCTGGAACGCGGTCCTGGAAGAGGTAGACCTATCCCCAGCCCCAGAGGCTGAGGTGGAGGCCATGAGGGCCAACCTCCAGGAGCTGGACCAGTTCCTGGGACCTTACCCATATGCCACGCTCAAGAAGTGGATCTCACTCACCAACTTCATCACCGAGGCCACAATGGAGAGGCTGCAGCCTGAGAGCCGGCAGATCTGCGCCTTCTCAGAGATGCTGCCTGTGCTCTCCATGAGACACACCAAGGACCGGGTGGAGCAGAACCTACCCCTCTGTGGCACCGAGTGCAAAAGCTACCAGGAAGGCCTGGCCCGGCTGCCTGAGATGAAGCCCAAAGCCGGGACAGAGATCCGCTTCTCAGAGCTGCCCACACAGATGTTCCCGGCAGGTGCCACGCCAGCAGAGATTACCAGGCACAGCATGGACCTGAGCTATGCCCTGGAGACTGTGCTCAGCAAGCAGTTCCCCAGCAGCCCCCAGGATGTGCTCGGTGAGCAGGAACAAGGCTCTTTGGGAGTGGGCTAATGGAGGGGTATTTAGTAGGCAGCCTTTAGAGTCGGGGGTACATGTTGGGTTGTCTAGTCCAGTGGTTCCTAAGGAGGCAGTCATGTCCAGTACATTCATTAAAGACACAGATATCCAGGCCTTACCCCTGGAGACTGCTTCAAGAGATTAGGAGTGGGGCCCCAGCAAATTATCTGTCTATTTATGTAATTAAACAAGAACCCTAGGTGAACCTGATGCAGACAGTCCGGTGTTTGGGAACCACTGGTGTGACCCAGCCCCTCATTTTACAGATTGAGGTCCATAGAGGGAAAGGATTTGGCCGACTAAGTGGTGGGAATGAGACCAGAGCCCAGGGCTGCTGGCTCCCTCCTCAGTTGGCTCCTGAGTCTCTCAAGGGGTTGGTTGGTCTTTTTACTGGTTTAGACCAGCACAGTAACTGTTAAAAAAATTATTATAGTTTCTGTGTTTTTCCCCCATATTACAAACATAATATATGTTCAGCATAGAAAAAAAATGAACTCCAATTTTCACATTCTGGAACTAATCGTTTTTTACATTTTGGTGTATTTACTTTCCATCTTATATATATACCAGGGGTACCAAAAAAATGTATACACATGTCTTGTATTCATCTTTTGTTATTGGTGTATATTGAGTATTACAATTTTAATACAGTTTTTTCCTTTCTTAAAATGTGTGTACATTTTTTTGGCAACCTCTGTATATGTATTTCATTTCAGTCTTTGTATGTATATTTCTGTGTATTTCCTTTTAGTCTTTTTAAAATTATATATGTTTGTGTATATATGTGATTTTTTATAAAAACAGAATTACAGTCTATTATTTTCTAATCTACTTTAATATAAAAATTTTTCAGTGTCACTGAAACAGTCACTCCTCTTCAGTGGCTGCTGAAGTTCCATGAACCAGTCCTCTGCTGATGGACCTTTAAGGTGTTCCCATTTTCACTATTATATGTGTCCTCCAGTGAACATCCTTGTGTATATTTCTGCATATGTTCGGGGTTGAAATTGTTGGGTCACAGTGTGCAACCAGCCAGGAGAAGGTTGTGTGTCCTCACCAGCTGGTGGCTGGCTGTTGCCCATCACCTTTCACGTGGCAATTTAGCAAAGGCCTCTTCCAGCTGGATGGCTGGAGAGCAATGTCTTATTTCAATTTACAGTTGACCCTTGAACTGCACAGGTTTGAACTGTGTGGGTCTGCTTACATGTGGGTTTTTTTCAATACATACCTGTACTGTCTTTGATCCCCAGGTAGGAGTCCACAGATGCAGAGGGCCAACTGTATATATTTGATCTATGCCATTTTATATGGGGAACTTGAGCATTCACTGAATTTGGTATCTGCAGGGGTGGGGTGTCCTGCAACCAATCCCCTGCAGATACCAAGGGAACAACTAAGTTTTGGGGGAGTCAAAAGTTATACACGGATTTTTGACTGCACAGGGGGTCAGCGCCCCAACCCCCATGTTGAAGGGTCAGCTGTATATTTCTTTGATTACTAGTAACAGCAAACATTCATCTTTAACAGCTATTTATGTTTTTTCTTTTACAAGTTGTCCAGGTATTTGCATATTTTTCTACTGGAAGATCAGTGAGAAATTTAAATATAGGGCCTTTTATATCATTGGCTCAGCTAGTGAAAAGGGACATTTTAATGAATGTATCTTAATGCATTGCACACTATTTTCATTTAATAAGTAACATTTGAAACTCTGGCTTAAAAATGAACAGAAATCATGTTTTCTTCCTCTTAACCATTTCAATTCTTCAAAGTCACCTTGTGAAAAGGTCTGTTGCAGGATAACTTTGTACCTTCATGGCAGCTCTTTGAAATTATTTCTGATCTCATAATTTAATTTTAGACTAGGCCAGAAATGCATGAATTTAAATAAATGCCCTAAATTCAGAGACTAAGCTCATATTTTCACAGACCATCCAGGAAAAGCCAACTGAAGAAGTACATCATTAAGATCTGTCATAATAACAAAGAAAATTTGACTATATGTATATTGAAAATATTGGTCATACATCTAACGTATCAAGACCCAGTAGCTAGCTAGTCACACAAATCAAACATAGTTACAGGCCTGGGGACAGGGAATTAGTTTTCCCAGGTGTCTGGAGGTGACAGAGATCAAACACCATGCGTTGAAAAAGGTATTTGGTGTTGAATGCATCTGTTCTTTTTATGGCCACATGTAGGTCCACAGAAGCCCTCATTAAATTTGAAGCCAGAGAGAACATCTTTGATCAGCAACAGTAACCAGAGACCCAGTTGCCTGCCCAAGGACAATGGCTTCTGGATCATCAGCTCTCTTTGTTTGAGTCAGGCTTCCAGTGGAAATATGGGAATAATAACTGATATTTCTTGAGTGCTACTTTGTACCATACATTATTCTAAATGCTTTACATATACTATATTAATTCATTTAATCTTCACTAAAACCTTCAAATAAGGAAATTGAAGCAGAAACAGATTAAGTAACCTACCCAAAAGGCTGCACAGCTGCTAAGCAGTGGAGCTGAGATTCGCACACAGGCTGTTTGGCTCCAGAGCCCGTGCTCTTAGCCACCACCCTGTTCACAGAGATTAAATCACGGAGCCCTGTGATTAATCAAACAAAAATCATCTGGCTGGCAGGCTAACCCTGGAACAAGTACTCACAAATGTTCCTGTTCTGTTAGGCTCTAGAACTATTCCCCTCCCAATAGGAAATCTATTTTATCTTTCCATTTTTCACATTGCCAAGCATTACATGTGTGATCTTGGGCAAGTCCCTTGACCTCATCTATAAAATGAGGCAAATACCACCTTCCCTGACCACCTTGTGGAATTGGGCTGAGGGTGACATGGAGAAATACAGCATTTCCCTGACCATCAGAATTAGAGCTACAACTACTGAGGCCCCATCATCCATCCTTAGCCAGATCTCTGGGAGCGAGGCAGCTGTTTTTAGCCGGCTGTCCTAGTAAATCTGATAGGCAGCCGGGTTTGTGATCCACTTGGCATGATATCCCTGGGACATATATTGTAAACTCTTTAAATGCCAGTCAAATACTACGTGTACCTTTTCTCTTGCAGTCTGATTTTACAGAAATCCAAAACCACGGTTTGGTTTCTCATGGCTTGCATTTATAGCAGTTTCGCAAACTTTTATTGAGCACCCGCTTGGTACAAGACCGCCATGGTAGTCTCTGAGGGAGTGAAAAGGAGAAGAGGCTACACCTGGCTGAGGTCCAGTGGAATTGATGGCCTTGGAGAGTCAGCTGGTGCTCGCTTCCCTCAGGATCATTTCTCCCCTCTGTACCTTTCAGGGGAACTTCAGTTTGCCTTTGTATGCTTCCTGCTGGGGAACGTGTATGAGTCATTTGAGCACTGGAAGCGGCTCCTGAACCTCCTGTGCCGGTCAGAGGAGGCCATGGGGAAGCACCACACTCTCTACGTGAACCTCATCTCCATCCTGTACCACCAGCTCGGCGAGATCCCTGCCGACTTCTTTGTGGACATTGTCTCCCAGGACAACTTCCTCACCAGCACCTTACAGGTGAGCTGTCTTCTGCACCCTCAGGAGGGTTACCTTTTTGTTTCTTGCTATGCTTTCACAACCCAAAGTTTTTATTAATTTCAGTTCCCCAACCTTGCGCCGTGTCCTGGCTCTCTCCTACTCGATGATAAGCTCCTTGCTGCCAGAGACCCTCTCTCTGGACCACCCCCTCCCCGCCTCACCCCCAGAGTACCTAGCTCTGGGGTACTTGGAATTTCAATCACTCTGCCTCTTTGGAGTCACTCAGCTCAAAACAGCCTTTCTTTCTCCCTGTAGCCATTGCTGCAGCCCAGTAGGACAGAGTTTGGAAGCTTGTTACTCCCAGGGAAACATCTGCAGCTCCTCAGATCTCATTTAGGCATTAAAGTAACTTTGATTTCCTGTTCAAACAAAATGTGTTTCTGCAGAGATTCTCTGACAGAAATAGTGAAATTTGCTTTTAACTTGGCAATTAAATTTTCATTCCGAGTGGTAATTAGGGAAGAAGCTTCAAACAACTTACAGTCTTCATCCTGTGCTATTTCCTCTCTTTGCAAACAGATTGGCTTGCTTTATGTTCTTGGGACAGCCGCTGTCAGTTTCCATATTTTCTGTCCACCAGCTGCTTTCTTCTCCCTGTGTGTGACCCCCACAAGGCCTGCTTCTTACAAAGTGGCTAGTCACAGACCTCCCACTCCCACCCATGGTAAGGGAAGGAACGAACATTCATTGAGTGCCTGTTCGTATCACCTTGTTTACCATGCTACATGGGTTTCCTCATTTAATCTCACTGGAACGCTGTAAGTTAGGGAAGATTATTCCCATTTTACAAATGAGAATACTGAGACTCAGAAGGGTTAAGTCATTTATGTAAGGTCACACAGCAGTAAGTGATAGAGCCAGGCTTTGTGCCCAGGCTTGAGTTTTGGTTTAGCATCTGTGCTTATGCCCCTGCGTGCTGAACGCAGTGTACTTGTAGATTCCCCCCAAAAGGATCCTTGACTGATAGTAATGGAGACACAATCATGCCTGTTTCTCAAAGATACAGATTACTTTTCTACAAACAACATACTTTTGGAAGAGTTTCTATGAGCAGACAGCTGACTTAAAACTCTGGCAGCTGGAGGACTTGGGCAGACCATGGGGATGAGTCAAGCTGATGGCTTGGGCCTGGTGTATTCCACTTCAGAAGAGGTATAAAATGTTACCAGGTTGTGGGCTGCAGAGGAGTAGGAGGCATGAGCCTGCTAACTCGCCTCTGGCGGTGGCTGCAGCCTACAGGAACGTGTGCACCCCTCATGCTGTGCGTTAATGCCGTCGCACAAACACAGGAGGGCCACACCGTGTTGCTGGCTGTCCCTACCATTGCCAGCACAACCAACGCTGAGCTCTAATTGCTGAGTCTTTGTTGCCAGCAATGATTTATGAAGCAGAAAGGGCCCAGCTGGATGCCCAGGGAGTGGTAGCAAAGCTGATGGTTGTAAGAATTCTGTCTTTGGACTTCTCACCAAAGAGTTCCTGCCCTCAAGAGATTTGTTCAATGATTTAGCAAGTATTTCTGAGTACCTGCTGTATACAAGGCCCTGTTCTAAGACTGGAAATATAGCTGTGAGTAAGACAGACAGAGTCCCTGACTTGCAGCTTATGTTTCGGAGGGAAAGTAAACAAAGGAATTAACCAAATAATTCGAGAAAGCGTGAAGTATTTTAGAAGGCAGTCCTGCCTGCCCTGGCACCATTTCCCTAAGCCAGGCCTTTTGGTCTCATCTAGACTACATCAGAGTTTGTCAGCTTCCATGCCTACCCCTGTCAGTCCATCTGTCTCCCATGCTGCTACCTGAGTTGCTGCTCTAAAATGTATATGTGATCCTATTTCTCTGCAGCTCTTTGTTGCCTAGAAAGTTCAGAGCCCAAACATGGGTCACAAGGCTCATTCCTCTCTTGCTCCTAACCTGTTTCCCAGCTTCTCCTTCCTCTCCCTGTATTCCCCATCAGCTCAGGCGGCAGTGATTCCCAGACACGCGTGCTGTTTGCTGTTTCATGCCTTCTTGTTGTTGTTTGTTTTGTTTTTGATATACTTTTTTTTATTTATTTTTTTTTATTGGGGAACGGTGTTTTTCCCAGGACCCATCATCAGCTCCAAGTCAAGTTGTTGTCGTCCCTCAATCTTAGTTGTGGAGGGCACAGCTCAGCTCCAAGTCCAGTCGCTGTTTTCAATCTAGTTGTGGGGGTGTGCAGCCCACAATCCCATGCAGGAGTTGAACTGGCAACCTTGTTGTTAAGAGCACACTCTCTAACCAACTGAGCCATCCGGCCGCCCATCGGCAGCTCATCGACTGCTCAGCTCGAGGTGCCATGTTCAATCTAGTTGCCGGGGAGGCGTGGCAGGAGTCGAAATGGCAACAACCTCCTTGTTAAGAGCTCACTCTCTAACCAGCTGAGCCACCCGGCCACCCCTGTTGTTGGTTTTAATTGTGGTAAAAATCACAAAACGTGAAGTCTACCCTCATAACATTTTTTAAGTGTGCAGTACAGTATTGTTAACTGTAAGCACAGCAAATCTGTAGAACTTTTCCATCTCGCATGGGTATAAAGTTTCATGCCTTCCTAACTGTTTCATGCCTTCTTAACTGAACCTGATATTCCCTCTGTCTGGTATATACTTGTTCATCCTACGGGATGCTTTCAAGGCATGCCTCTCTGAAGCCATCCCTGATCTGTCATTTCCATACTGTGAACCTTCTTTGTACTTGTCACTATTATATTGCATAGGCTGTACTTGCTGAAATTCATATATTGTCTGGCGGACTTGCCCCACTGAGCCATGAAGCTTTACCCCAAGCCTAATTTTATTCATCTGGTTATTTTCAGCACCTAGTCAAGGCCTAGGTTTATGGTATTGGGTGTTTTTAGATGAATAGAGTGCATAATTCCTGTGGCAATGTAAATACATGACCCTAATATGATTGGTGTATACAGTGAAGTCTGATCAAAGGACGTTAGGAGCGCCAAAGGGGGGTTGCTTCATTCAGACTGGGGATGACATTTGAGGGGACAGAGGATCAGAAACGACTTTTTTTGCAAAGAGGGGCATTTGACTGTGAGCTTCAAGGATGACTGAGATTTCAACAGGCACAATGTAGAAAAGGATATTACAAAACTTTTTTTTTTTAGTGGAGAGTTACGTTGATGCCATCTTGGCAGTGAGAATCCAGCCCCTCCACATGGAGGCACTCACTCAGGGTGTTTATGACTGAATGAATCAGCCCATAAAAGCCTTCCTCAGCGAGCCGCCTGCATTCCCCCTAGGTAGTCAAGTAAGTGGAACTGGCTTTCTTCCTTAGGCGTTTAAATGGCTACTACCCATGGAGAGGGACTGGTGTTTGTACGTGTAAGCACTTAAAGGCAGCCACATTAGCTTCTATAAAATCAGCCACGTAATGGCCTCTGCCCTTGGAAGCCCTTTTTAATAGATACCACTGGTTTTTACAAATGCCCTAGATTTAGCTTGAATAAAAATTATTTGTTGTACAAAAATAGATAGTTTTTTCTTTTTAAAGCAACTCGAGTCACCACAGTTTGCTTAAAACCAATAAAAGGATAATCTGAATTTAATAGTATGTTAGAAAGTGAGTTATGTACAAAATAAGGAGCCTTATTGCTGTTTGCATAGCATTTAAGCTTATAGTCACGTAACTTTTTTTTTTTAATACTTTTAGTCACAATGGGCCATATATGCTTTCCAGCTTCATTTCTTGCTTGTATTCTAAATGCCAACATCCATCTTTAACTCTTGAGGGAAATCATTGCCTCTGACAGTGATGTCTGTAGCGTTTTATCATAATACCAGCTATGATAAACTTCATCTCCCTACTCCTGCCATCATCTGTCACCTTTGCACATATACTGTGCCTTGTCTCATTCAGCCCTCAAAACAATGCTCAAAATTATGGATATCATCCCACTTTATAGATGAGAAAACAGGGTCAGAGAGGGCACATAATTTTGCCCATGATCCTCAGAGCTAGTGGACCAGCGAGGCTGAGCTTTGATTCTAAAGCCTGCGGTGGGCTGTCACGTCTTAGAGCCCCAAATGAAACATCCCAGATTCTTTAAACTGTCCTCAGGAAACATGATCCCTACTGCTTTTCACTTTCCTGCTAATCATTGTGAAGTGATAGTCTTGCTTTTAACACCACTTTCTTCTTCTGCAAGTGGAAATAAAATGTTCTGCCTCTGTCTAGTTTCATTCTAAGATGATAACCATTTGGGAATTGAAAAAATTAGGAAGTTCATCTTTTTTGTCTAGCCAAAAAGTAGGATAAGATAGTGACTCAGCTATCTACCTTGATATTTTAAGTTTCTCAAGGTGACCTTACTGAACTCTATTTAACTTGGGTTTAAAAGAAAGCTTTTACATTTCTGACTAAAGCAATTTACAATTTAAGAATACACAGACTAAATGATGAAAGTAGTAATACCTTTTTTATATTTAAAGAAAAATACCCAGTGGGTGTGCTTTTAGTTTTAAATAAATGCAGCTGTTTGTGAAATGTTATCCTATGTCAAAGTATTTTTAAAATATCCAGGATTAATCTTCCTATATTAAGATGATTCATTTCTCAGTGATGTTGAAAAGTTTAGTTGATTTTACTTTAGTAAATGAAATAATCAGGTCAATTCTAAGTTTTTTGAAGAATGCATAAAATTAATCCAAAACTAAGAATCAAAGTAAATTATTGCTTGAAAACTAAGTATTGTCTAAACATCTCCTTTTCTAAACTGAGTTTTTAAAATATTAAGTTTGTAAACTATAGGGACAAAAATAAAAGTAGATCAGTGAGTGTCAGGGGTGAAGAATAAGGGGAGGGTTTGACCACTAAGGGGCAGCACGAGGAAGTTTTTTAAAGTGGTGAAATTGTTCAGTACCCTGATAGTGATGGTATATGGTCCTGCAAACTCAGAACTGGATACCAAAAGAAAAAACTATAAGCATATATCTATCTTGATTATATCACATAATGGTTGCCTGGGTGTATACATTTGTCAAAATGAACTGAACACTTAAATGGATGAATTTAATTGTATGTAAATTATATCTCAATGAAGTTGATGTTTCTAAAAAGTTAACCTGGGCTATACCCTGGATCCTGGAGGCCTGCAGAAAGGACAGTTCCAGAGCACCTGGCCTCCAAGGCCCTTGGCTCCCCACAAGGCAATGCTGAAAACATGACAGATGTGTTACATCTGTGTCAACACAAGGAGAAGGTTGTGGTGGGGGGTGGGGGTGGGGGCAGNGTGGGGGCAGGGGGGGGGAAGGATTGAGCTTTCCCTTCTTGGACTGGCTCTTGCTCGACCTTTCTCACTTGCTCAGCGTTTATCACTGTTCTCATCTTACAATGGGAATAGTAATTTCCTGTCCTCCTACCTCCCAGGTTTATAGTAAAGATTAGATCGACAAGTTCTTTAAAAAGGACAAAGTACTTTTCAAATTAGAAGTCTCATTTTTCAGACTGAAGGCTTCTGTTATACCTGCTTCTGGTTGATTTCACCAGCAGGCAGTGTTGGGGAGGTGGGGGGAAGGATGAGCGATGAGCATGAGCCCAGCCGGTTCCAGCCTCGCACTACTGGCCATTGCCAAATGCAGGGCAGTCCCCGCGTCTCGTTCCCATCCTTTCAGTGACGGTCCTCTGGGCCCTAACTCTGTGCCTGGCCCTGGGTGATATGCTGTGTGGGACACACTGATAATTCGGACTCATTGCCTACCCTTAAGGAGCGCAGATGACTGATGCAAGCACAGTGTGAGTGAGAAATGCCAGAAGGGAAGCTCAGGCTCAGTGCTGGGGGAACAGAGGTTAGAGCAGTTCATTTCAGCTTGGGCTTTTTATAAGAGTCACAAGGAGGTGGCTGTGAGCTGGTGGCATGCAGGGGTCCGGTGAATAAGCCACCTCCTCCCCAGGATGAGACCCTCATTCTGTCCAGTACCATCACATAATTATCGAGCGATTGTTTGGTGCTAAGCACTGTACAAAAGTCAACCAAAAATGAATTTTCATAGGACCTATGGTCTTCTTTCTTCTTTGGTTCATTAAACATCTAATGGGTCCTTTTTATGTGTCATACCCTGTGGCAGGAGTGTAGAATGCAGGTGTGAAAAAGACTCACTGCTTTGGAGTTGCTCCTCATCTCTTGGGAGAGCTCAGCTTTAATATAAATGGACTGTTACCTAACTGAGATTGAGGCTATGATCGAGGTAACCCTGGGCACCGGGGGAGCATAGAGGAGCACCTGTTTGTTCTTTGGTCTGGGAAGACATCCTGAAGGAGGTGATGTCTGAGCTGAGTCTGAATTACTAGTAGAAATTAGCTAAGCTGAAGAGGAGAAAATGCATGGGAGGATATTATAAGCAGAGGGAGAAGCACGTGTGTGTAGAGTCATGGCAGAGGCAGTAGAGCATTGGGCAGCTGTTCACCGTGGCTGGAGAGGAGGGGCTGTGTAGAGAGTAGCTCAGTTTACCACGTAAGGAGGGGGTACAGGAAGAAGTTCGCAGGTTCCCCACGACCTCTGGGGACAGACTCGTGGGTGTTGTGCAGGGCCCCCGGAACTGATGCTGTTTAAAACATGACTTCTCGGCCTCCCAGACCAGGCCGCTCCCCAGAGTTCAGCTGGGCTCTGCATTCAGCCCTCCCGGGCAAGCGCCTTTAGGCCGCCAGCTTCCCCGCTGCCCTTCCGCCACCAAGCTCACACAGCCCCTCTAATGAGTTATTGATCTGGTACTGTGTTGTGGTTATGCCTCCCGCTCCCATGTTTAGTCAATTCCCAAGTTAATGAAACCAAATTCTGTAAACCCCCTTCTGTTTCCACACCCCTCCCATCACTTCAGTCCCTGCTACCACGACAACAAAATGGCTCCCAACAAAGACCACTGAGAATGAGCCTCACGCCTCCTGCTCACAGAAAGACAATGGAGAAGCAGGTGGGAGACATGTCGTTTAGGGACTCAGCCGCAGAGTACACCTGTCAGGTCAAGGCCCCCGGAGCGCGGCTTCCTTCCATGGTGGTCTGCAGGCCAGCTATGGCATGAGGGTGACGGAGATCAGAGAGCTCCTTCCACCCTTCTGCGTCTGCGTCTGTGGGCCGGTTCTGCGGCGAGCCAGTGAGTCTGGGGAAAACCTCCTTCCTTTCTGGATAGCTCTCATTCCGTCATTGAATTTCTCTCAGCCTCCGTTTCTAAAAAAGAGGCATTCTGGTATGTCTTCCCAGGGCATTTTGAGGATCCACTGGGATACTCTGTGAAACTTCTTTGAAAACTGTTAAAATAGTATGAGGAGGAGTAATGGGTTTGCTGGTATTCTTAGAAAGGGTTGGGATCTAGGACAATCTGGAAGGGAGTGTCAGATGTAGAGAAAATTACTGTTCTGCCCCCTGCCCATGTTTATTTTAGATGAAACTGAATTAAGAAGAACATCAAAACTGAGGATTAATATCCAGAATATATAAAGAACTCCAGTAACTCAATAACAAAAAACCTGATTAAAAATGGGCAATGGGCAAAGGTCTTGAATAGACATTTCTCTAAAGAAGATATACAAATAGCCAAATAAATACATGAAAAGATGTTCAACATCACTGATAATTAGGGAAATGCAAATCAAAACCACAGTGAGATACCACTTCACATGCATTATGATAGCTATTGTTCAAAAAAAACCAAAATAACAGATGTTGACAAGGATGTGGAGAAATGAGAACCCTTGTTCGTTGCTGACAGGAATGTAAAATGGCACAGCCACTGTGGACAACAGTATGGTGATCCCTCGAAACATTAAACAGAATTTCTTTATGATCCCAGAGCTCCACTTTTGGGTATATACCCCAAAGAATTGAAAGCAGGGACTCTAAGAGGTATTTTTACACCCATGTTCGTAGTAGTAGTATTTATAATAGCCCAAAGGTAGAAACAGCCCAAATGACCATTGACGGATGAATGGAAAATAAAATGTGGTATAGACATACAGTAGAATATCATTCAACCTTAAACAGAAAGAAATTCTGACACAGGCCACAATATGAGGACAGTACGCTAAGTGAAATAAGCCAGACACAAAAGGATAAGTACTGTATGATTCCACTTACATGAGATACTTAGAGCAGTCAAATTCACAGAGATAGAAAGTAGAATGGTGGCTGCCAGGGGCTGGGGAGAGGAGGAAATGAGGAGTTAGTATTTAATGGGTCCAGAGTTTCAGTCTGGAAAGATGGAAAGAGTTCTAGAGATGGATAGTGGTGGTTGCATAACAATATGAATATACTTAATGCCACTGAACTGTACACTTAAAAATGTTTAAAATTATAAATATTGTATTGTGTACATTTAACACAGTTTTTTAAATGATAATGTAAAAAATTGATTAAAGTGGTAGGTTTTAAGTTATGTATATTTGTTAAAAAGAACATCAAAGACAGCTTTTAAGGGGAATAGAAGCCTCAAACTGGCAGCCTGTGGCCATTTAGTTTAGAGCAGCGATTCAGCCTCATTGGCTTAGGGCTGGGACTTTATAGGATCCAGGGGCTTATAAGCCACCCACGCCTTTTTAGTACCAGCTGGATAGCTACTACCTCTTCCTCTGGGTGACTGCCCAGGTGCCCCATAGATCTCCTTGGAGGGCAGGGCCATAGTGAAGATGGCCCCGCTGGCCTTACACTCAGCGGGGCATTTCCGCCCGAGATAGTAATTTTCCATTCTAGTCCTGCCCCGGCTTCTCAGCTGTGTTTGGACCTTCCTTCTTGGTTTAAGGGGAGCACAGCAGGTGTCCTGGGCCTGTGCCACCAGCAGCTGATCTCCCCACCCGAGAGCTGAACACCATGAGGAAATTTCCACAGCTTTCTCGGCTCCCTCTGTGTTCTCAGGAGTGACTTATCCTCTGTTCTCTGTAGGTTTTCTTTTCCTCTGCCCGCAGCGTTGCTGTGGACGCCACCCTGAGGCGGAAAGCTGAAAAGTTCCAAGCGCACTTGACCAAGAAATTTCGGTGGGACTTCGAGGCAGAGCCTGAGGACTGCGCCCCGGTGGTGGTGGAACTCCCCGAGGGCGTGGAGACTGGCTAATGGGGAGTGCCCTCAGCCAGGGAGACCCCCTTCCCACACAGCTGCAGTCCTGGCGTCTCCATCCTACCCCTTCCTACCGGGACCTGCAAAGATGGAGCCAGAATTCCCTCCTTCACCAGCAAGTCAGTTCCTTCCTTGCCAAAGAGGCTGCACCATCCTGAAAGCGCATTCATGGGTTCCCTGTCAGCCTGGCCTTGGTGCCAACCTGACTGAATAACAGATAGACTCTTACGGACACTCCTGGGAGAGACCTGCCTCAACAGCAACCTTCTAAATGAGAAAGCCCAAGAGAACTGATGGCTGATCCACACGATGGTTAGAAAACAAGAAACCCTGGACTGCTGAGGGGTCTGAAATAGCAATGACTTTTTAACAGTTAAACAGGGCAGTAGGGAGATGAGCCAGAATTGCTGCCTGCCCCTCGTTGAGTGGGAACACATCACCAAACACACGGGCATGTGACCGCCCGAGAGCCCCAGGTGGGGGGCGTGACGCTGAAGACAGTTGAGTCTGACAAGTCATCAGCTCTTGCTTTCTCCATCTAAGTCCCTTTCTCCTCCCGTCCAGAGGTCCCAGTGGGTAACCTTCCAAAATGGCTGTGGCCCCTGACCCCAGGGGCCTTGCTGGTGCTGCACCTCTCCCATCTGTTCCATTCTGAGGCCTCAGACCCAGAAGTGGGCCTTGGCAACCCTCCTCTATGTCCCCATTCCTCACCAGAGCCACCATGACTGTTTCTGATGACCTGGCAATTCAACCACAAACAAAGTTTCTTGCTCTGGACAGGCTTCTTTGGCCCTGTCGGAGTTCAGAGCTCTAGAGATGACCAGTAAGCTTAGGTCTTTCCAGTCCTGCCGTGGAGCTGTCCGCCACAGGGGTATTCATACTCGGGTTTTCTGGGAGTTCTAAGGGCATGCGCGTCATGCACACAGGCCCTGCCACCCTGACTTCAAGCTGTTGTACTGTAATCAGAGTCCCCGTGCTGTTCTTTTCCAAGGCTATGGCTCACACCAGGTTTCTGAGTGAGAATTCCTGCTGGTTAAGACTGTTGGTCACTTGTTTCCTTGGAGATGGTTTTTCAAGAGCGTAATGTTCATTAAACTCTTAGTTGAGACCAAATCCCCTTGTGTGAGTCTCTCCTGCAGTTAATCTGCCCAGTTCCCAGAGCAGCCAGGCTATCATCCACAGACACACATCTCCCCCCCACCTCACAGCACCAGGATACCCTGCCCAACCTCTGCAGTCTCAGGAGGAGGGGAGCAGCCAGCAGTGCCTCCTGCTACCAGGGGGGCTTCCGAGACAGGCACCTGACACAAGGATTGAGGCCCTGGACCTGTATAACAACCAGAAGTTTCACTTTGTGTGCATTTGCTATTCTTTTCCTCCCCAAAGCCCACTCATCAGAACTACCTGGGGAGCTTGTTAAAAGTGTGGCTTCGGAAAAAACAAGGCCCTGATCCATGCTACACCATGATGAGCCTTGAAAACACTGCTGAGTGAAAGAAGCCAGACATAAAAGGACACATGTTATATGGTTCCATTCATATGAATTGTCCAGAATAGGCAAGTCAGACAGATTAGTGGTTGCCAGGGAATAGGAGCGTGAGGAATGGGGGGTGACTGCTAATGGGTACAGGGTTTCTTTTTGGAGTGATGAAAGGTTCTGGAATTATTGATAGTGGTAATGGTTGCACAGCCTTATGAATATATTAAACACCAGTAAAAGTATACACTTTAAAAATGGTGAATTTTATGGTGTATAAATTATAACAATAGGAATTTTTAAAAGTGCAGATTCCCAGGTCCCAACCAGCAGGTGATTAAGAGGCAGTAAATCTGGATTTGGCCTGGGTTCTGAGGCACTCTCCATTTTGAGTCACTACCTGGAAGTAACAGTGTTGCAATTTAGTGCTCAGAGCTCCATTGGGACAGAATTTATCTTCCACTGGCGTTGTTAGGACAGCACCTGGAAGTTGGGTCACGTGACCTTTTCTCCACGCTTCTTTATCTTAGGCTTACACAGAGCACTCCCCATCAGCAGCACCACACACACAAAAGGATGAAGGAAAAGCCGCCATTTCTGTTATGTAATCCTCACAACAACATGTGGTATGTACTATTATCCCACCCAAATGATGTGAAAATAGGCTCAGAGCTTCTATCATTTTGCCAGGGTCCCACAGCTGGTAAGGACTGAGGACAAATGTGAAGCCCAAACCCGTGGGTGTCCATAGCCCACGCTCAGCCACTGCTTGCAACGCTAGCCCTTACTCTCCCAGCCCTTGTGTGGCCAGGTCAGCCTTTCCCCATCCCTACTTCCCCAGATCTAACCTTGGCCCTGTTGACAGCCAGCTAGCTGTGTGACCTGGGGCAAGCCACTTTCGTTCTCTGGGCCTTAGTCTGCTTCCGCATAAAATGGGGTTTCTGATACAGATTCTGCAGGCTCCCTCAGGTATTTCAAAACGGACCCTTGTGTTATGTGAAATGTTTTCAAAGGGAAACCCCATTTACATGGGATCATACGTCTGGGCTGTCAAAAAACAATAGGTGTCTTGATTGGGGCCGGAGTGACATCAACCCTGTGTCTTCTGCTTGTCCCAGCTGGCAGTCCTCTATGTGTCTTTGATGAATAAAAAATGTGAAAACAGATTAATTATTACTTAACACTTGCAGTATTTTGAGAAGGCAGAAACCTTCCAAACAGAACCAGTGGCACTGCTGATCCCTAAGCTCCCCGTCCTAACATCTGAAAGTGAAGCTATTGGCAGGACCTGTCCTGATTTTTAAATCCCCTCAAATACAGGCCTCCTGGGGCCTGGATCTTATTTGCAAGGCTGCTTTATCCTATTAACAGAATCAGCAGAGGTAGTGACTTTCCAACCCCTTCCGCTGTCCCCGTGACAAACCCTCGCTGCTCTGAGCCCCATTCGGTCTAATTTCTCACCACTTGAGCAGTGGAGGAGTTCCCCGCTGCTGATTGCCTCTTACCATCAGTAATTATTTCCCTAATGTCATCCCCTTGTCGATATTGTTTAACATTCCCAGAGCGCTGTGACATGTTGGTCTCTCCAACTAATCAGACTTTGACTTGACCAAGATGTTGTCCCCCTGCTGAGATGGGGGCTGGGAATGCAGCGTATGCCATGAGTGAGGCTCTCACTGAGTCTCTGCCGGATTTAAAGCAGCTGAGCCAGGAAGCTCACCTGAACCACCTGCTAATCCTGGGGTCCATGTGTGTGGTCCTGTGATGCCCAACAATCCTTGGGTCTTCAGTCCCCTGCTAACTACCGACGGCACTTCCTCACCTTAGAGTTCATCACATCTGGCCCAAGCAGGCTTTGTTCTCATTAAAACCCCTCTAGACTCTTCTAGATCCAGAGTATCGAAAGACCCATTCTCCTTGCTAACTCTGGGCTCCTCCCTGCTGACAGGGGAGGGCGTGTCCAGCCCCTCCTCCACCCACTGGACCTTCTGTCATGTGTCCTGGATGTGGGGCTCACCTGGATAGACTCACTAGATTTCTCTGGAAAACAGGATCCCGAGGGTTGCCAGGCTGTCAGTTAAAATGTTTGTTGGGGGGAATGTAGGAGAAGTAGGGGCTCCTCAGTGGAGTAGTCCAATGTCAGGTAGCCTGTACGAAAGAGACTCCGCAGGTCTCGGTTCCTTGAATCGTTGTCTTGCTTTTTCCCTCCCCACATCACTCCATTTCCCCTTGTCACCCTGCAAACATTTTCACCTGCCTCAAGTCTGGACTCGACACTCCCAGGGAGATGCTGACAGATGGAGTTACATCTTGAAGAGAGGGAGCTGCCACGTGAAAAGCAGTTGGAGAAAAATTCAGGAACTTCACCAAACAGCAGAGAGGCTGAGAGAGCTGGATGAGAAGAAGGGGTCCCTGCATCCTTTAGTGCAGAGTTAGGACTCACGGGGCAAGTTCCAGGGAGACGGGTCGGCTCCGTTCCTTCCTCATCCAACCGATACCTCTTCACCCAACCTGCCCCCGTGAGCTTACATTCTAGTGGGGGGAGGTAGACAATAAGCAGAATATAGAGTGTGTTAGTTATGAGAAATGTTCTGGAAAAAAAATAGAGCAGGATGAGGGAAATTGAGAGTTTGGCAGGGTGAGAGGAGATGTTGCAATTTAAAGAGCAAAGATTTGAAGGAGTTTGAGCAAGTGAGCTATGTGGATGGATGTCTGGGGGAAGAATGTTCCAGGCAGACTGAACAGTGGGTGCAAAGGCCCTGGGACCAGAGCATGTCTGGTGTGATGGAGGAACACCAGGGGCCGGTATGCTGCGAGTGGAGTGATTAAAGGAGAGAATGGCAGGAGAGGAAATATGGGAGGTTACCGAAGCATCAGATTGCCCAGGGAGGGCTTAGGGGCTCTTGTAAGAACATTGCATTTTACTCAGTGAAATGGGGACCTTAGAGGGTTTTAAGCAGAAGAGCGACGTGATCTGACTTGTTTTAACAGGATCACAAGCTGCTGTGTTGGACGTAGACTGCACGGGATGGGTCAAAGCAGGGAGACCAGTAAGGAGGCTAATGCAGTAATCCAGGTGAGAGAAGATGGTGATACAGATCAGAGTGGTATCAGGTGTGCGCAGTGGGACTGTAGTCATGATTCAGAGAAGGATGGACTGGATATCTTTCAAGGGCTCTTCCAGCCTGAAAACCCCTGCTTCTCTTAAGTCTCAGAACAGTGACTCGTTGTGGTCCTCCCCACTCAGGAGTCCCCTCTCTACTGTCCCATCATGGGATCTGTCGGCCCTCCCTGTTCCCAAATGTCCATGGTACACTTGGGTAGGTGGGGCAATGATGAAGGATTGTGGAGGGCTGTCACAGGAATCTGGGCAGTGGGGGGAGCTGGGGACTTGAGAGGGCTCTATAAGAAGCAGCAAGGGAGTCAGAGGCCCCTGATAGGCTGTGGTCACAACGCCAGCACCCACGTGGGTTTTCTTGCTGCCAATGGGGACAAGGAGGGTTGTACTTGATGTTCAGTTCTCACGACTAACAGAGAACTGAGGGCATATGAGACCTCTGTTGGTACTAATTTGTCCTGGCCAGGAATCATTCATGCACCCACTTCCACCATGGAATTTTCATGGACTTTGAAGTGATTAATCTGAGCAAGCACCTAGTGGGGCCTCTCTCCTCGCTGCTGGGCACTGTGTGGTTTTTTCCCTTCCCTTATTCAGGTGGAATACCAGGTGTTCAGGGAAGGCATCATTCCTTGGCATGTAGACGAGGAAATCAAAGCCCGGGATGGTGAGGCACAAGCTAGTGTGTCTCAGAGCCAGAATTCCAGCCCACCTGTCTGAGTCCAGCACTGCCCCACCCCCATGCGGCACTCCTTAACAAGGACAGTTACATAATCGGTGATAATTACCCGTGGATCCAAGGCTGCCAGCTGACAACTGGCAATGTCAGGCAATTACAAGGGTGGTGGCAAGCAGGCCCCACTTGGCCTCTGGGTTTGTGACAACTTGCTAATGTTTCTGCCCAGACCCTTTGTGTCCAGCGCTGGCCTGTGAACACACTGGACTGACCTGGCTCCGGTGAGGTGGCACCTGGTGTGGGAAGAGGGGGAGCAGCACCTGGTCAAGAACGAGGCTTCTTCTGCTCTCCTGTGGACCACCGGGGCCACGGAGGGGCTGCCCAGTCTGGGGGACACCTGAACGGAGGCCTCTCCCACCCCGTCCTACCAGAATTACTGTTGAGTTTGCGAAGGCACTTGCTTTAGAGAAAGAGGCTGCCAGATGTGCGGCCTCTGAGGGGCTGGCTTGTTTAATGCCCAGACAACCTCTGGGCAGGCCTGTGCCTCGGCCACCCCTGTGGATCAATAAGCTGTTTTATTCTGAGTCTAGCAGTCCAAAGGAAGAGAATGGGATGTGGGGGTTTGGGGGGATCTCCGTGGTACATTTTAAATGAAGAAGGCTACCCCATTGTTCGTGTGTGTCCTTTGCTCATTTTTCTGTTGGGTCTTTGTGGTTTTGTAAAATATGCATTTATCTGATCACAATATATCTTAATATTAGAAGTATTTCCTCCAATCTGCCTTTTAAGTTTATGATGTTTTAAAACATATGCTTTACTTTTTGTGTCAAATGTGTTGAGTTTATTCTTCTTGATTTGATTTATTCTCATTGCTTGAATGCTTAAAAGTCTATTCCCGTATCAAGATGAAATCTATATGAACCTATATTTTGTTCTGATTTTTCCCAGTGTGTTATACTTCCTTATTTTATATTTTGCCAGTCCAAACCATGTTTCCTTCGCCCCACTTGATCCACCCCCACTCCTACCTTTCACATCTGTTCTCAATCTTCCCTCTCCAGATTTTTAGTCCTAACACACCATCTCATGCCTCCATCCTTGTCCTTTCCTCAGCCACCAAGGGCTTCTCACAAGCCCCGTGGTCCCCTGGCATTTACAGCCAGAGCCACACACATAGCCGGCCCTTGGTATCACAGTCTGGTGTGCACAGTGCTTTTTTTGTTGATTCTCAGGGGCTAGGATCACTTGTTCATGATTCTGCACTGCTCTGCTCCAAGCATGGGGCCAAGTGCATAAATGCTTTCTTGATTGGAAGATTCACCCCCCCCCCTCTCTGAGAAGGCTCTCTGTCTGCACTAAAGCTCCTTCGAATGGCACTGGTTGCTGTTACTGTCGACTGCACGCCTCATTTCTGTTCACCTCTCTCCTGCTGTCAGGCCTCCTTTGCTGAGGAAGGCTTTTTCTACTCCATGGCATCCTTAGTAGGAGTGCCAATGACAGTACCTCACCTCATCCTTCCACCCACATGGATAGACACACAATTCCAGCTAGGCCCCTTGGCGTTTTCCCTGGAATGCTGCTTCAGAAGGATACCACCTGCTTTTGGAGTTATGGTGCTAGAGGACTCTCAGTGGGACCTAATAGGGCTCATGATCCCTGCACCAGAAATGAGGATGAGACCAACACAGAAGGAAGCTGAGCTATGAGAGAGAGAGAGAGAACCAACATCACGGGCGCACCTGGATCCAGCCCTACCTGCAGCCCATAATCCCAGGCTTCCTCCTACATGAGCCAATACAATACTTGTTTTATTGTTGTTTTTTAGATTTTGCTTTATTGTGTTAAGAACATTTAACATGATGTCTCCCCTCTCAACTGGTTTTTAAGTACACAATACAGTAGTTGACTACAGGTAAAAGGGCTATACATCAGATCTCTAGAACTTACTCATCTTACTTAACCGAAACTTGTCCATTGATTAGTAACTCCTCGTTCTCCCTTCCCCCAGCCTCTGGCAACTACCATTCCATTCTTCAATTCTATGAATCTGACTAGTTCAGACATCTCATACTATTCACAATAGTCAAGATGTGGAAACAATCAAACTGTCCATCGACAGATGACTGGATAAAGAAAATGCGGTCTGTCCATACAATGGAACATTATTCTGCCTTAAAAAAGAAGGAACTTCTGCAACATATGACAATATGGATGAGCCTTGAAGACATTATGCAAGTAAAATAAGCCAGTCACAGAAAGACAAACACGTGCCTTTTCCTTCAAGCTCTTTTGCCATAGGTTTCTACCCTTGCAGTCAAAAGACGCCTGATTAATTCACTCCCTGCAGTGTGAGACTTTGGCCTTCACCACCTGCCCA